CGGGGCGCCCGGGCCGTCGGGCCGCTTGGAAAAGCTCGGATTTCCGCAGGCTGAGCTGGAGGCAGCTGGCGCCATCCGGCCTGCAGAGATCCAAGCAGTCGACAGCGTTCCCCACATCCCGCCCCATCTCCTTTCCCTGCGCCGCCTCGCTCTCTAGCGCTGCAGGGCTGACCCAGCTCAGCTTGGAGCCGAAGGCGCTGCGCCTGTCCCACGCCCGGGAACACTGTGCGCCTCGCGCAAATGCGTCCCCACGACCCCTTGCCTGGCCCGGGGCCATGTGGCCGCGCACGGGCCTCTGGAGCCCCCGTCTGACTGCTGGGGAAGGCGCCCAGAGCTAGGAGCGGGTTGGTTGGGGACTGGTCCTCGCGCTGGGTCGCTTTGCCCAGGTCCCCAAGGCCAGGCCAGAAGCAGGCCTCAAGCTCAGAGCCGGTCGGCGGCGAACCTCCCCTGTGGTCATCACAGGCAGTCCCCGTGAAATGTGGGGACTCCTCCCTTTTCCAGCACCTGCACCCACTGTGGTGGGTGAGGCTTCGAGGGGAGGTCCTGGAACCGGCGGAGCCATGGGGGCCACATAGGTGGGGAATTGAGAGGTGACTAGGGCTTCATGCCCAAGGACACAGCTAATATCCCTTGTACAAGTCACACGGCTATAGGGAAGAAAACCAAACCGTTATCTGTCAGGGCCTGATGGATCCAGGAAAAGTGTTGCGTGAAAGAGTACTGTTTCCAGGCCTCTGCTCAGAGATTTTCGGGAAGGCGCCTACAGTGGCTCAACGCGCAGGGAGCCCGCATCGGGAACTGTCCCAGCCAGATGGCCCAGGGCAGTGTGGCCTCAACACAACTGAGCACCCGCTGGGCCGCTGACCCCAGCACCTTCCTATAGCCTGTCGCTCTGTCCCCCAGGCTGGAGTACAGTGGTGTGATCACAGCTCACAGTGATGCCACACACACCCCAGTTTCGACCTCCTGGGCTCAAGCAATCCTCCCACCTCAGCCTCCTGAGTACTTAGGAGTACAGGCGCACACCACCACACAAAATGCTGAGATTACAGGCATGAGCCTCCATGCGGGGTCTAGAAGCCAGCATTTGGGAGAGTAAATACCCAGGGAAGCCAGGGCATGAAAAATGGTCTACCGGCCGGGCGCGATGGCTCACGCCTGTAATCCCAGCACTTTGGGAGGCAGAGGCGGGTGGATCACGAGGTCAGGAGATCGAGACCATCCCGGCTAACATGGTGAAACCCTGCCTCTACTAAAAATACAAAAAATTAGCCGGGCGCGGTGGCGGGCGCCTGTAGTCCCAGCTACTCGGGAGGCTGAGGCAGGAGAATGGCGTGAACTGGGGAGGCGGAGCTTGCAGTGAGCCGAGATTGCGCCACTGCACTCTAGTCTGGGAGACACAGCGAGACTCCGTCTCAAAAAAAAAAAAAAAAGAAAAAAAGAAAAATGGTCTACCTTTCTAATGAGAAAGGAAAGCCAGTTCATATCACATTTCACGGATTGCATTATCTACTATTTAAAAAGGACAATATTGGCAGGACTGTGGTGAAACAGTTGCACATATGCTACTGGTATGAGTGCAAATTGGTATATCCTTTTGGGGAGAGCAGTTTGGTGGTGTCAACACCCGCACATACGAACACGAACACTTAGAAGCAGTAATACTGCTTCTAAAAATCTGTTCAAGGGAAGTTATCCAAAATGCAGGCAATAATCCAATCACAACCGTGTCGTATAATCCCAACATCATTTAGATAATCTACAGAGGTCCCCAACCTTTTTGGCACCAAGGACTGGTTTTGTGGAAGACAATTTTTCCACAGACAGGGATGGGTAGGGTGGGAATGGTTTCAGGATGATTCAAGGGCATTATATTTATTCTGCACTTTATTTCTATTATTATTACATTGTAATATATAATGAAATAATTATACAACTCACCATACCATAGGAACAGTGGGACCCCTGAGCTTGTTTTCCTGCAACTAAATGGGGGTGATGGGAGACAGTGACAAATCATCAGGCATTAGATTCTCATAGGGAGCGCACAGCCTAGATCCCTCGCATGCGCAGTTCACAATAGGCTTCGTGCTCCTGTGAGAATAGAGGTGAAACCCAGGTGGTAATGCTCCCTCACCCTCTGCTCACCTCCTGCTGTGTGGCCCAGTTCCTAACAGGCCGTGGTATACCAGTCTGTGGCCCAGGGATTGGGCCCCTGATCTATTCTGTCCTAGGATCTCCAGCCTTCTGAAAAGATGCTCAAAGGGAGCTCTCTGCATTTAAGGGCAGCTGTTGAGCTGAGTGTGATGTAATCCCAGTGCTTTGAGAGGCCAGTATAGGAGGATCACTTAAGGCCAAGAGTTCAAGACCAGCCTGGGCAACATAATGATATTCCATCTCTACAAAACATTAAAAATTAGCTGCTAATGGTGGCACATGCCTGTAGTCCCAGGTAGTTTGGGAGGCTGAAGTGAGAGGATGCTTGAGCCCAGGAGGTCAAGGCTACAGTGAGCAGTGATGGCATCACTGCACTTCAGCCTAGATGACAGCACGAGATTCATCTCTACAATAAAAAATAAAAAATTAAACTGTAGCGGTGATGGGCACTTGTAGTTCAGCTATTCGGGAGACAGGCGGGAGGATTACTTGAAACCAGGAGTCTGAGGTTACAGTTAGCTATAACTGTGCCACCACACTCCGGCCTGGGTGACAGAGCAAGACCCTGTCTCTACAAAAACAGTAAACAAAGGCAGTTTAATTAAACTGTTCTGGCTGGGCACGGTGGCTCACTCCTATAATCCCAGCACACTGGGAGGCTGGGACGGGCGGATCACTTGATCTCAGGAGTTCAAGACCAGCCTGGCCAACATAAGGAAACCCTGTCTCTATTAAAATAAAAATACAAAAATTAGCCGGGTGTAGTGGTGCACACCTGTAATCCTAGCAACTTGGGAGGCTGAGGCACAAGAATCGCTTGAACCCAGGAGGCAGAGGTTGCAGTGAGCCAAGATCACACCACTGCACTCCAGCCTGAGCAACAGAGCAATACCCTGCTCCAAAATAATAATAATAATAATAATAAAATAAGTAACTGTTCTTTCCCCACCTGCCCACTTAGAGCTTTCAAGATTTAAACTATATTCACATCCAGGGTCAGCTAAAACCTGTTACTTGCTCTACTAGTAATAAATGACAACAACAAAACCCAGAAACAACCTAAAATGTTCGATATTCACCATTAGAATAGTTTAAGTACTTCCTTGAAGTGGGAAATACATTAAGCAGTTAGTTATATTCGAAAGATTTAATGAATGACTTGGGAATCAGACTATTGCGATGTTAGGTGAATTTGAACTGGTCTACAGAATTGTGGGGTCTCATCTCTACATTACCTAAATGTCCCCCTGACCCCATCTTCTGTCTTCTCACTCCAGGGGTATTGAGTGATCTCAGCAGACTGGCTCCTTCTGACTGAGATGCACAGTCTGGGAGAAGGAAGGGGATGGGGCTCACTCAAGGGATTTAAAGCACTGTCCATGGACTCAATGTCCAGCCCCCACTGATGCCCCCTCTGTCCTCCCCTGTTGCAGGAATGTTCGTTGTGTTCACCTCTCTCTGGGCATTTTCCTCCTGAGTCCAGTGGTGTGCTGGTAAATGTCTAACCAGTTCTCTGGGGAGGAATTGGTATAAATCAAGAGCCCTGATGTGTAGCATTTGTCAATTACCATGGTATAAATTCTCCCAGCATGGCCAATTTCAAGCTATAAATATGGGGCCACTGAACTGAGCTGGAAAGAAATGGGTATAACCAGTTCTTGCAAGCTGGGATAAGCCGGCTCTACACACCACTGCCTGAGTCCCACTGTTCCAAAGGAGGGG